CTTGTCTCTTGTTGAAATCTCTTCCACTGTTCAGCTGCAGATGCCTCAGGCATTCAGCTGCAGAGTACAAAAAGGAGACAAATATCCGCCCACACATCAATACTCTATTTAGTAGTTTAAAACACCTATCATCTAAAACATAGTTTTTAAAATATTCTAAAAACAGCTGAAAATCTGTTACATAATGACAAAAGGAATAAAGAGGTACCAATTGCAGCGTTTTTTAGTTCTAGAAGCTTGTAGGTGCTCTCAGCACTGATACGCTAGGGAGCAGAAGGGTCAGTCTTGAAGACCCCATTCTCCCCCTGAGCTGTTTTCTTTCACAGGGTAGTTACAAAGCTCAGATCTAATTGTTGTTTGTGGTGCTTTAGTATCCTCTAAAACCACTTAATTATCTAGAACCAGGAAAGGGAAAACTTAAAAAAATAAATCATATAAGCTTCTTTTAAGTTCTCTGCCATGGTCACTTAGATGGCAAGTGACACCACCTAAAATAAGCACATAGATTTTATTCCCATATTTATTGTTAGTGTTTCAAAGCTTAAGCTGGGGATATTTAGAGTGGAAGATAGTCCATTTACTCAGTGTGCCTCATGAGAGTAATCTATCTTGTAAATCCAAAGAAATAATAAAGCACCTATATAATTGGTGCTTGGTGCTCTCTGTAGGCTGGGTCCTGAGATACTTTGCAGCTCAGCCCACTTTGCTCTCTCACAGTGAACTTTTGCTTTCAGTATGACTTTACCTTGCTAGCCAACCTCTCCTGTCTTGCTCAGCTTTTATTCAGGGTGCAGAGAACCTGGACCCAGGACTGCTTGGGGCCCCAGTGCCAATGTGCCTTATCAATTTGAATCCTGTTCATGCCAAAATGAAAAAGAAAACTATTTTCATAAAGAATAATTTAAAAGGTGAACTATAACAAGTGAAGCTCATTAAAACCAAAAACAAACAAAAACTCCTAGCCAGGCTCAGTGGTGCATGCCTATAATCCTAGCAGCTCCAGAGGCTGGGGCAGAAGGATCACGAGTTCAAAGCCAGCCTCAGCAATGGCAAGGCATCAGCAACTCACTGAGACCCTGTCTCTAAATAAAAAATACAAAAAAAAAAAAAGAAAGAAAGAAAGAAAGAAAAGAAAAAATAGGGTTTAGGATGTGGCTTAGTGGTTGAGTATCACGAGTTCAATCCTCATACAAAAAAAAAAAAAAAACAAAAAACCTAAGTATAAAGAAAGATAAACAGTGTTGGAAAATTTAAACCCATAAATGCCCATTATTATATACTTATGTACATTTCTCCAACTTACTATATTATATACTCCTTTAGAACAAGAGCCCTATTTTTATTTTTTTAGATATACTTGACAATAGAGTGTATTTTGACATGTTATACACACATGGAGTATAATTTATTTTAATTAGGTTCCCATTTTTGTGATTATTCATCATGTGGAGTTTCACTAGTGGTATGTTTGTAAATGAACATAGTAAAGTTATGTCTGATTCTCTTTCCTTTTAATTCTTAGGGTCTAAGACACTTTATACGCACATTAGGAACTTAATAAATTGTTAATGATTGATTTATCCAGAAAGTTCAGTGAATTTTCAATATGTGCTATGAAGTGCCACTAGATTACTAAAATGAACCAGATGTAAAACCTATTTTTAAGGAGCTATCAGTCTAGGAGAAAAAATAAAAGGACTAAAATATACATGAATATAAGATATAAAATAGTAAGGAAAAACTAAAAGGAGGAAAAGTGTTACAGTGAAAAAAGATAGACAAAATTAAAATGGAAATTCAGAGGAAAATGTTGGGGAAATGGGAAAACCTGCCTGAAGGAAGTGGAATTTAGCAGTTATTGAACAACAGATTTGAATCAATAATGTAATGTTACTTTGGAAACAAATGCCATAATAAAAGGAATTTCACATGAAAAGAGTTAGGTTTACTGGAATATAGGAATGTTTTAAAATGTTTCAAGATGTCTTGTCTTCATCTGTGCAGTGTTGTCTTTCTAATAAACCCTGCTTTCTCTAGTAACACTGCTCACAAATACGTGAAGTGTAAGTTTTTATACAACTATTCATTTAATAAACACTTATGAAATAACTATTTGACACAGTGTATTCTGAAAGCACAATAAGGTATTAAAAGTAAGCAATCAAAAATGAATAAAGAGTAAAAGGAAGATCAGTAGAATAGAGGAAAGAGAAAAGGGGGAAAGAGAAAGAGGAGGGGAATGGGGATTGAAATCAAACTCCTTGTATGTATAATTTTTTCAAAAGGAACTTAAACACGATGTATAATTATGCTCATATATATATATATATATATATATGTATATATATACATATATATGTGTAAAATTAATGAGACAAGACATGAGACAATGCATGCTTCAAGGAACTTGCTGTTTATTGACTGTATATATACAAGCAACAATTACTCAGTCAGAAGTTAAGTTGCTAATTGCAGATCTCCACACAGTTGTGTGACTCACCCTACCATAGTCTAAATGGGAAACATTGCTATCCATAGCTCACCAATTGCATATGATCTAAAATACAGATGATGTCTACCTTAGAAACATAATAGGTTTCTATTACTAGTAAATCCCGAGGGATCAACCTATTGACCTTATAAAATTAGCATTTCATTGCTTCTTGCCAAAATGAAAAAAGAAAACTATTTTCATAAAGAATAATTTAAAAGGTGAACTATAACAAGTGAAGCTTATTAAAACCATAGCCTTTTGCCTATGATTAAGAATAAAGTTAGGGTTTCATTCCTAAAAAAGTTTAATATCATATTGTATTTTCATGACAGTAAATTAAGCTAAAACACAAATGCCTTTGATTAAGTATATGGAGAAAATTGAATAAGTCACATTGTAAGTATTCCTTTGGAGGGATATTTCTGCAATTGTTACTAGGCTGGTTTTAATTACAATAAGAAAGATGATGAAAGCAGTCTGACACTACTTTAGATATTATTATATCTGGACTTTCCCATGGGATAAAGTACACACAGATTTTTATGGATTGTGATTTTTTTTGTTTAGGTTTTAGAAAGCACTTCAATTTTTGTCATTGCATCATTTCATCAACTGTATGACTTATTTGGTAAAAGTTTGTGATATAGACAATATTTGAGCTCTATCTTTACATTCTGGATAAATAGGTAACTGAAAAACTTTTTGTATCATCCTTATCATATGAAAAAGGGGGACAGAAAAACACCATGTCCCCAAATGCCCCCTTTATGTTCACAAAAGCCTAGTCAAATTAAAGGAACAGTAAAAACAAGCCTGGGACAATCCCGATACATATTATCTTGAAGGGCACTGGTTTTCTCTTATGCAAAGTGGGAACCAGGGCAAGTTAGTGATATCTGTAGAAAGCTACTTTCTTTCAGGTATACTAGGACAGTGGCTCCTTGGAATGGTGGTCAGACAAGCAAACTATGCAAGTTGGTGCTCATGATGTCACAGTTTCTGCAGCTGAAGATATAAGACCCTTCTCTGAATAGGAATGGTCACAGAACCAAGGGCACTGTGAAAAGAATATGTATCACTTGTCCAGCCAGTCACCACTGGACAAAATACCATGAAGGAGAGGAGGAGCTCACTGCTTGGCAAAACATCCTGAGAGACAGAGGTGCTGTCTTTGAGCCTATAGCCACTGAACTCTTCCTGGAGCAGTCGCTAATCTCTTGTAAGCTTCCCCAATGCACAATATGTCTCTCATGCCGTTTCCAGGCACTTTGTGTGGCCTCCCTGCAGTTTACCTCACTGCCTTAAGCACAACAGGAATGAGACACCTATTGATAACACTAAGCATAGACATACAGGATTAACTAGACTAGAGTCAAAATGTATAAATATGGTAGTTAGAGAAAAATAAACAAGCAAAGAGAAGAATAAATAGGAGTAGAGACTTCATTATTAACAATATGTTAAGTATCCCACTTTTGCATGAACAAAGATAATCAGAGTTCTGTGTGTTACCAAGGTTTTCAGCTTTCCACAACCCTGCTAAAACTTGGAACTACAAATTCTTATTAATGTCATTTTCCCCTTTGTATCTGTTCAGCGAATGACATTGTCTTCTAGTTATCACAAGTGTATGACTATAAGTTTCAGGCACTTTTCTGCAGTCTTTCACAACTGTAATTTATTCATCCCAAGGTATATGCTGGCCAACACTGGATAAGGTTGCTTGCTTTATGAAAGAAAGAATTCCTGTAAGGTTCTTTTCCTCTTTAATGCTATTTTAGCACAGGCTTTGTTATTACTCCGCAAAGGTGATCATATCCTACTTCAAATACCTTCTTATCTACAGGAAAATGAATCACATAAGGAACTCCATTATTGGGTTGTTTCATTGTTATTTTGAAAGAACATGATGATCTGAATATGTAAATTGAGGCTATAAATGAAAGTCTGTCTGTTGTTGCAATCTCCATTCTCCTACTTCTCTGATATTTCCTGTAAACTGTTTTGCACCTGACTAGTTGCATGGTTTTAGTTCCATTACAACAGGTCTGACACTTCAACAACAACAACAACAAAAATTTGCCTGAAATTTGAACTATTAAATTTCTGCAGTACCATCCAGAAGTCAGCAGTGGCACTGCAGAGGGCCTGAGGAGAACAAAAATACCAACATCAAAATGTGATGCTCCACTTGTGGCAAGTCTAACATTTTTAAGCTGTTGTAGATAGCTTCATAATGTTTTGGTCAGTATACAACTCTTAAAACCAAGTTTTGCACAATAGCCACATGTCACTTTGAAAGATTTCCTTAGGAACTGAAATTGTCTCAATGACAAATAGAGTCACCTTCATAATAATCAGAATTATTTTCTAAATGTAGTATTTACAATGCAACCTAGCAAGTAAAGAATGCCAGTGTATCTTTGAGTATGTAAATTAAAAAAACATTTTTATTCTTTAAAGTTATGTTTTAAAATAAATCTGCAGCAAAAATATTACCTGTGGCCCACATATTACATATTGAAATGGTAGGTTTTGCTTCTAACAAAGACAAGGAGATGGGGAGACAAAATTAGTGCCGAGACTCAAAGGAGGAGGAAAGAAGTCCAATGTCCTTAAAAAAAAACAAAGACAAAAAAAACCCTCTTACAAATTATCCATTACTACTGTCATCAATAATAAATAATATGTCCCAGATCTTCAAAGGGCTCCCTAGAGTCCATATTCATTGACTATAGCCAACAAGCATTTCTTTCTATGTAATGTGTACTCAGTAGTTCATTACAACACCCCTTCCTCTCCATATACAAAGATTTGAGCTCTTGGACTGACTCAGTTCAATTAGATAGAATTCTCCAACTTGAGTTTTTATAAAAAGGAAAAGTGCAAGTATAGCAAAGCTTTAAACCAGAGGTATATGAACAAGGAAACTGATCTATTTAGCCAGATAAACATATTGCACTGAAGGAGCAAGTCTAGATGCTACCACAGCTCATCAGGTGGACTTAAAGACAATAATGCTTTAATCATGTACCATTTCTCTGGTCTGTGCTTCCAACAAGGAAAGCTAAGTGCGGATGACAGTCAAGATATGAAAATTTAACATACTACATGTTTAAAAATCCTTCCTATTATTGTGTTTAATATTCCATGTGGAAAGAATAAAAGAAGGTAGGAAATAGTGGGAAATGCATCTGAACATAAACAATAAACAACCTAAAAATTTACATGCAGAAAAGGGTCTCCTTCCATTGTAAGGAGAGCCACTCTACAAAGCTTCAAAATGTACTGCATTTACCAGTTAGAAAAATAGCCTGCATTCCAACCAAGATGAATTCAAGATAGAAAAATTTTGTGGCAAAAAGTTATATTATTACCCACTTGTATTTTGCAAGTCTATTAGGTTCTGAATATTTCTTACACTGTTAATTATCTTCTATACCTACCATACTACTGAAAACTTATATATGATTTGGAAGACTGTTCTTCCTCAACAGGCTAGTCTTGCAATGCATTTCTGAATAAATATATGTTGTAAAATGTCTTTTCCCATATTCCACAGCTCATCATTGTCATGTCAAACAGCCTTCTCTTAGCTGGGGTCTTCGCTATAGAAGCATAATACCAATTAATTGATTATGTTTATCCAAACCTGTCCAGAAATAAACTTATTATTTTGTGTTATATGAAAGAAGCCAAATAGTCCAATTAAGATAGAGGGAACAAATGGATTTAGTTCTCCTTTGAACTGTAATCAGTTTTCCTAAACTATATAATCAAAAGGAATTAATATTAAATCCTCATGCCTTACCACACATTATTTTCAGTGTGGGAGTACAACAGGCACATTATGTTGGTTGAACAGATGTTGGGATCCGTAATACCATCATCTAAAAATAGACCATGGCTTAGCTTCAAAGTGCATACTTAAGGATATACTGGCATTTTGGGTAACTATTATTATATTATTCCATATAGTTAACTCAAGGCAAAAGTTACCCCAATCAAATTGCCATTTTTAAAGTTTATATGGTAATATGTTTTGGAAAGTTGATATTAATGTGAAGTTTTCTGATTTTCAAAAAAAACTATATTGGGGAGAAATATAATTTTAAAATTACAACAAGAAATGTATGAAACTTTTGATTTAATTGTGCTTCAAAAGCTCAGCTCCCATGAGTATATATTTTAAAGCTAGCTCCCTTATAACATATCCATATGCTGGTCTATCTCTTGTCTTTGTAATTTTTATTGTTAATAAAACTTGAGTTTTACCTAAGGAAGCAAATACTTTCCTCAATGAACTAGTTACTGTATTTGTATTTAATAGTTCCTATTTTGAGGTAACACATTATTTTGTGCTTAAACATTGTACAATGCTAGTTAATGTGTGCCTGTATTTTAATGTGTAATTTTCCTTTTTTGTGATATTTGAATGAACTTTTTCCAGCTCTCCTGACATATTATAGATACACTATAATCATAAGCATTACAGAGTTAGTAAATAACAGGGAACTGAGGAAACTGAGGCCAATTCAAATTGAGGAACGGCAAGCAGGATACCTGGGTTGAGTCTGACAAGAATAAAATGACAATAGTTCTCCGGAAGCATGTAAAACTCTTCTAATGAGCCAATAGGATGAAAACATTTTTATTCAAGAACTTCCTGCAAGGGCTCAAGTCATGTGGCCTGAGAGTTAGAGGATTGTAAGATCTAGTGCTTATGATCCCCATTATGCAGTTTGGCTCTATTGGGCTTTATGCTCCTCAAAAAGTTCTTCTAAAACACAAAATCTTTATTTATGAGAACTAAAAGCTGTATGGTATAAAAAGTGCTACAAGGAAGAAACAGGTTTAAAAAAATCATCATTTAAAAAACAGGATAGGAGACTGGGGTTGTGGCTCAGTGGTACAGTACTTGCCTAGCATGTGTGAGGCACTGAGTTCAATCCTCAGCATCACATAAAAAGAAGTAAAGGTATTGTGTCCACCTTCAGCTAAAAAATATATACTAAAAAAAGGATAGGAATTGGTACCATAGTGTGGATGTCACATAATCTTAAATATAGTTGTTATGTACATTTTTAGTAGTGGTAATATTATAAATTATCAATTTACTATGGCTTGTGAGTTTTCTGTGTGAGTATATACATATTTAGTATAATTCTTCCAATTTTCAATCTCCTTGGTAAAAAATTTAATGAACTTTCAATTTCATTGTGTAAACTACTTTAGAAAACTGCTTAAGTATAAACATAATAGGAAAGACATAATAAATTGCATAGGAAAGATATAATAAATTTATCTCTAACAAAATCAGTGTTTTGAGTAGGCTACATATAATTAAGATTTTTAAATTCATATCAGTCTACTTATTATATTTTTCCCTGTGACTTTAAATTTTATTCATTTTAAAATCTGGTACCAGAATATCCCCATTTTTTTATTTACCCCAATAATTATCCTAGATGTAAAAGGAAATAAGCTGAAAAATTACAGGACTTAATTCCATTTCAATAGGAATCAAAATGTACATAAAAAGCTTAACCGAATAAAAATAATGTTATAAAAATAAACAATAGAATATAATAAAACAGGTGCAAAATTGCAATTTCTAAAGGCCAAAAAATGAGCTACAAAATTCTTAATTTGAAATTTTTTTTGCCTTGATTTTTTATTTTAATGTACTTATTTTTTTAGTTGTAAATGGGCACAATACCTTTATTCTATTTATTTACGTGGTGCTAAGGATTCAACCCTGTACCCCATGAATGCAAGATAAGCGCTCTACCATTGAGCCACAACCCCAGGCCTTAATGTACTTTTAATTGTACAAACAGCATGCTATCAAAGATAACAAAAATTTTTAAATGTAGCGTATTAGTGAGAGTTTAAATACTTAACTATGTTGAGAAGGGTCACAAATAAAAAAGCTTTCAAAAGCTTTCATTCTTCTTTAGAATCACCAAATATGTCTAAGCAAAACATTTATTGCTGATAACATTATGTCCCAGTAGTAGAAAAAGGGTGGAAAAATGAGCCTTTACCAATATTCTAAACCTGATTACTCTTAAATTATATTTTTATTTTTTACCTCTTGAGTTAGCTACTATTTCCCCTAATATCCTTGATTAAAAGCCCATTAATTATTCCTTTGTATCAACCCAAGAAATGTATACTTTACTTAAATGGACACATTTTTTTCCTAAATCCAGGGGAGGGGGGTCTTACAAAGCCCCTCAAAGTTAACACAGATGGAAAGAGTAGAAATTTTTGAATTGCATCAGTTATCTTCCCATTGTCTACCAAAACAATAATGAAACCCAATCAATGTAAATAAAATTATTTTAATGGCCAAAAAAATCATATCCATACATTTTTTTTTATGTTCATACTTTAAATGATCTTGTAAAACACACTTCAGAAGAGCAAAAGATTTTTTTAAGATGCCAGATGCTCTTGGGAAAATGAATACCAGGAAGGGGACACCAGACTGCCTGAACCCAGAAAGCCTGTCAAAATCACACTTCCCCCCCTGCCCCAGTACCAAGGATTGAATTCAGGGGCACAGGACCATACCCCCAGGCCTATTTTGTGTTTTAAAAAAAATAGAGATAGGATCTCACTGAGTTGCTTAGCAACTTGCCATTTCTGCGGCTGGCTTTGAACTTGCAATCCTCCTGCCTCAGCATCCAGAGCAGCTGGGATTACAGGCATGGGCCATGGTGCCCAGAAAAAGTACATTCTTAAGCAGGCATGCTGACAGTGTTACTCAGCTACAACCCTACCTGCCCCAAATAATGGAACAGTGTGGTTTGTGAGAACCCTGTTTTTCCCCAAATGTTCCCTAAATTTATGTAACATAATTCCTCCCTAAATATAACTGAATGCATGTCACTCAGGAAACTTTGTTCTGTCCTCCCAATTTATAGTATAGAGTGCATAGAGGAGATCCACTACATCTCAGGTCTCAGGGAAATGCATTTCCGGTCAGCCTCTGCATCTGCTGTTTCCCAAAACATCCTCAACAGGCAAAGGACATCTCCAGTCTGCCCAGGAAAAGCACAAGTGAAGAAGACTCCACTTACCTGTCTTTTATGAACTTCTTAGTAATACAGCACTGTTTTGTCCCTGAAAAATATTAAAACAATACTTCAAATTAATATGTCACCTTCCATCTATTATCATGTTAGATATCATATTCATATATTTTCTAGATTAAGAATGTATATTCCACTTGGATTTTTAAAAATATTACATCTCAGAAGAACAAAATGATATTTTATATAAAAAAATCTTGCAAATAAATGTTAACTAATCATATCCACTACTTCCAAAGATGTCTTCTACAGAGTTGGTAATTTAAAATGTTGAAATACTGACTAGGTTTATAACTTTAAAAATTTTACTAAATGTGTGTGAGTACATCTTTTTTGTAAAGGAGGTGGCATAGAGAATCTTTGATAGCTTTTTTAAAAAAGCAAACCTCAAGATCCCCAGGGCCACTGTTATCATAAAGAATGACAAAGTGATACAACAGGTTTATTCAGCTTGGAAGGCAAGAAAACCTGAGCTGCTTCTCAGGAGAGCAATACTTTTAATGACTCCAGAGACAGGGTTGTTATTTGGAAATCAGCAAGCATAGCCTGAACTGACGGTGGCCTCTTCGTGTTTTACCTTTTAATGTGAACTAATACTTTCTCCAATTTTTCATTTTTTCCTACCTACAAATAAACCAACATAAAGAGTGAGCTGTAATATTCATCCTACTCACATCTCTATTCGATATGGCAGCACTGATGTACCAAGTCCCTAGACTAATCCTTATTTGGGGATAGCGTTCTTTTTTTTCCTCTGGAATAAATGAAACCAGAAATTTCATCTTAATAAGGCAGTGTACCCCTCTGCTGAAATTTCAGCTACTAGTAAACAATCATTCTGTGCATCAATTTAGTTTTCTTGGAAAGGAAAATAATGCAGTTTCTATTCCGTTGTCTACAGTGAGAACACTAACACACCTCCTTTTAAGGAAACACATCTATAAATGAATGAACAAAGATATGTGTGCTACTATGTAGAAATATTTAGAATAGAAAAACTTAGGAATATTCGGCAAAGAATGTCAAACTTGGGAGCCAATATTTTAATAGGTTTTTGAAGTTATATTTAAACAATACAACTTCAGTCCTATCCAGGCATGTTAGTGCAGCAAACTAAATTATTTTTATTCCTTCATGCTCAGATTTCTTTTTTTTCCCTCAGAAAGTCATAAGTCTAGACAGCTCAAACGTAGAAATGTTAAGAGTAAAATTTAGATGTACAGAATCTAAGTTACTACTATGGCACCTAACCAAGACAGAGTAAAATAAATGAAAGAGTTTTGATATTTTACCCTCCCTGGGGGACAGTGCTACTTACTCTCTCAAAAAAACAAAATATTATCTGTTCACACTAACTCCAGTTTCATTTTTGCACAAGTTGTTCAAGGTAAAATAGGTGATGAATTTAGGGGGAAATGTGCTGTCTGCCTTTGAAAAAGGAAAATAACACCCAGTCTACAGTTAATATTGAATTCTCTCTGAATAAATCAGTAAAGTCCATAATGCACAATGTCTAATAATGGGGGACACAGGCCACTTGCATCAGAATCACCTTCAGTGAATGTCAACAATTCATATTTCTGGACTCCACCCCAGAGGCAAGAGCCTCAATTTCATGGAATCTGAATTTTATACCCCTATAACTGGATTACCAATTGTATAATCTTATTACTACTTTTATACTTAACTATCAACATAAATGCCTGTATAAGAGTTGTCAATTGGCACAGATATTTAGTGTCACACGTAAGAACAACAGCACAGCTATAAATGAAATGATAGGAAAGGCAAATTCAACCACAAAGATATACGGTTATAGAAGAATAAGTTATTAAAAGCATGTTTGTTCTGCTTTCTGAGTATCAGAAATTATGATAGATACTTGGGATGCAATGATTGACAGTAATGGTTCTGATCCTTTGGTAGGAAAGGAAACTCAGTCTGGTGGGATAATAAATGTTGATTGTCTTCCCTGTGCTTTGCACACCATCAAGTTTTTTTGAACTCTCAATCATAATATGATTACGTTGAATCCTTTTAAATCTTGAAAACTTTCTGCTCCAATTTAGAAGGTAGGCATGATGAAGAGTTCTGTCCTTCCCTGCTTCTTTGAGTAGGAACTGATGTTTCCTGATGCCCTTGATGTCCTCTTGTTTTGGTTTACTCTCTTGTTTGCTTGGTGAACATCCACAAGAATCTTTCTAGGAAGTGGTTATACATAAGAGGTAAATTCTCTGAATCCCCCGTGTGTCTGAAATTACTTTATTCTGTCTTTACTTTTAATAGATAGTATGATAGGGATATGATTATAGGTTGTAGCTATGTTTTCTTTGACTTTTGAAGGTTAATTGTAGCATTATCTTCTTCAGTATTACTTTTTACAGGTATACCTCTGAGATATTGCAGACTTGGTACCAGATCACTTTAATAAAGCAAATATTGCAATAACTCAAGTCACAGAGATATTTTTTGGTTTGTTTTTCATTTCCTAGTGCATACTAAAGTTATTTTTACACTATACTATAGTCTACTAAATGTGCAATAGCATTAAGTCAAAAAATGTACCTACTTTAATTTTATAATACTTTATTGCTAAAAAGTGCTATAACCATCGAAGCAAAGCCTTCAGTGAATCATAATTTTTTAAAAATATTTTTTAGTTGTTGATAGACCTTTATTTTATTTATTTGTATGTAGTGCCAAGAATCAAACCCAGTGCCTCACACATGCTAGGTAAGTGCTCTACCTCTGAGCCACAGCCACAGCCCCACATAATCTTTTGGTTGGTGGAGAGTTTTCTGTGCAGCTGATGACTGCTTAAGGTAGTGGTTGCTGAAGATTGGGGTGGCTGTGGCCATCCCAGTTTCTTAAAGACAACAATGAACTTTGCTACCTTGATCAACTCTTCCTTTCATGACAGATTTCTCTGTAGATTGTGATGCTGTTTGATGGCATTTTACCCACAAAAACTTCTTTCAAAGTGGCATCAATCCTCTCAAACTCAACTGCAGCTTTATCAACCAAATTTATGTATTATTCTAAATCCTTTGTTGTCATCTCAACAACATTTACGTATCATCTTTTTTCAGGGTTCTTTAAAAATAAACCACTTTCTTTGCTCACACATAAAAAGGACCTCCTCATCCATTAAAATGTTATTATGAAATTGCAACATTCCATTCACATCTTCAGATGCCACTTCTAATTCTAGTTCCCCTGCTATTTCCACTACACTCTGCAGCTATTTTCTTCACTGAAGTCTTAAATTTCTTGAGTCACCCATAAGATTGGAATTAACAACTTCTGAATTCCTGTTAATATTGATGTGTTTTTTTGCTATGAGCCTTCAATACACATTAGCTGTGAAGTGCAATAAAGTTAGGCACAGTGAAACAAGATATGCCTGTATTCACTCTTGAAACCGGAAAAGTACATGGTGAGAAACTCTTGGAAAACTTGACTTGTTTCCCCCTGAAGTTTGGAGTTATAAAATCTAGTGACTTAATCTCCAATGGAAAATACTTGAGAAAAGGGAGAGAATTCCAGTGGTTACAACTTGATGGCTCAGATTTTGGTGAAGCCAAACAATGTTGCTACTGTTGGTGTTAGTTTTGTTTGTCCCCATATGCTAAGTAAATATCAGAAATCAACTTGACCATAGATGACAATAAAAAGGCCTATATCTAAGGGGATTGTGTCTAGCACAAAACCACAACATAGGAAAAAAAGATGGACTATTCTGCCTGGTCAGGAGCTGAGAGGTCATAAGGGGCCAGGTAGAGTGCAGTCCCTTTATGTCAGGGGACTGTAAGAAAGACTCCCAGATCCTGCAGGGTATATCTAAAGACATGGAAGTGCCTCACAAGTGAGAGACAACATTTAGATATCGGTCAGAATGTGAACCCAATATCGAAGAACCATGTACATAGCTACACAAAGTTCTTTCAGAAAGTATGCTCTTATGGAGCTCTAGGGTCCACAGAAATGCAGCTAGAAGGTAAAAAAAAAAAGGTAAGAAATTGTTTTAGAGAGTTGTAGCTATTGCTTGGGCAATTTAGTTTTAAGAAGTAAGACAGAAACAATTAGAAGCAAAGGTCATATATAAGAAGCGGTGGACAGCAATAGTTATATAGGACAAGGACATGCAAAAGGGCACAATGGAAAATATTCAGACAACTAGAGTCTCAGCACAATTCACAATAGCCAAACTATGGGACCAGCCTAGGTGACTAAAACTAATGAATGGATAAAGAAAATGTGGTATATATACATGATGGAGTTTTATTCATCCATAATGAAAAATGAAATTATGTTATTTGCAGAAAATTGGAGGAACTAGAGACCATTATGTGAAGCAAAAGAAGTCAAACTCAGGGCAAGGGTCATATGTGTTCTCTCACATGTGGAAGCTACAGAGGGAAAAGGAAAAGAAATTTGGGAGTAGATCTCATGAAAATTAAATGGAAAACAATAGAGGAAAGTGGCAAGGAGTGGGAGGCATGGAAGAAGGGGAGAAATGCTGGGGAGTGATATTGACCTAAAATATTGTTATAGCGTGCACATGTATGAATATGTAACAACAAATCCCATTATTATATATTACACACCAATAAAAATGGAAGGAAAAAAATCTCTGTTGTTCTGGTAAAATTGGTAAATAAATCTATATCAATAAACAAATGTGTGAATTTTAAAAAATATTTCAGTTGTAGATGGATACAATACCTTTATTTTATTTATTTATTTTTATGTGGTGCTGAGGATCAAACCCAGTGCCTCACGCATACTAGGCAAGTGTTCTACCACTGAGCTACAACTGCAGCCCCAAATCTGTGGATACTATTCAGATACCAGACAACAGTAAGAAAATATTCATGACTGCATAGGTGAGATGTCTGAATATAATCTGTTGTCCTGTTGAGTTAGTATTTCCAAAGCTTATCCCAATTTCTCTTGTATAAACAGGAGACACATTTATGATGGTTTAAGAACCTTTTAGGTTAGAGGGGACAGTCTCTAGTGAGTTTATCCAGGTCAAGGACTCAGGCATGCCAGCTTTCATTAGATCACATATGAAGTCATTCAGTTCAAAAAAGTTATATATCCAGTGTGTAGTTTGTCTTATGAGACCCAAAATTCTTCAAGACCATCATATTTAATGAAACTATAAGTATATAAAATGTGTATTTTCCAATGGAAATTTATTTAGCAATGAACAAAAATGAACTTGTGTCACTTGCTGGTAAATGGATAGAACTGGAGAACATCATGAGAAGTGAGATAAGTCAGGCTCAGAAAGCCAAGGGTTGAATGCTTTCTTTCATATGCAGAAGCTAGAGAAATAAGGGATTTTTTTAAAATGTCCCCATGAAAAGAGATGGGAGAGCAGTAGAGCAAAGGAAGGGAATCAAACAGGGAGGGAGGAGGATAGAAAAGAAAAGGAACTGTGGGATGAACTTGAACAATGTTATGTGCATGTAGGAGTATATCACAATGAATTCCACTTTAATGTATAACTGTAATGTACCAATTGAAAAATAAATGGATAGAAGAAAAACCAATAGAAAACAAAAAGGGGGTTAGGGAGGGAGGAGAAAGTGAAGCAGGCAGTACTGTGGATACAAATGGTGAAAATTATGTTATATGAATTTATAAATATGTTAAAATGAGCCCTGAAGAAACTGGATGCCTCTATACTAGATGTCTCTAAGGTTATGATTATGTGATTACAATAAGTAAGAAGGTGTTTCTGTAAACCTTTGGAAAATAACTGTGGTATTGTCAATTTTCCCAAGTGCATGCAAATAAATAAAATAATTCTGAATGCAATGTTATTCTAAAGACTACTGAACATGGATCTACCACTATAAAATGAGCAGCTATTTCTGTGACTGAGAGGGAAATGGTGTTAGAATTGAGGTCTACAGAGAAGTGAGAAACACAATATTGTCAACAGCTCTTAAATCTTGTTGAAAGCAGTAGTCATGACCTTTAATCTTTCTCAGGGTTATGCAGCAATGTTTTAAAGGCTACTAAAGGGGATAATGAGTTTTTTCTGTAAGTGTGAAGATGGCCTAGGCTTCCAAAGCCTCTTTTTTAGAATGTATCTTACAGTTTTAATAAAGAAGCTGATGGATTGGTTGAGACTTATAACAGACCATCTTCCCTTGGATACTCCATTCTAAACTTATTTTTGACCCAGAAGCAACTGGGAATAGGTTCAAGGTTGGAGATGTTGACAGGGGAGACATCAGGGTAAGTAACTGTAAAGCAGCTTTACTGAGCACTGGCTACTAACTTGTCTTAAGTCCACTGAGTCAGAACTCAGGCATACACAACAAGTTATAAGAAGCTAATTTATTACTTACAGTTGTGCAGCAGAGACAAAAGGGTCCATTGGGTCCATTGTGAGCCAGTTTCCAAAGACTGAAGAAAGCTACATAGGCTGGACAGTGTCTCAGTTTCCCATGCCTTTGCTCCACAGCTGAAGAACCCTGAAAGACAGCCCACCCTGAGTTATGTTTATACTTCTGTGACCATGTGAGCCACTGACTAAAGGGGCATTCTGGTTTCTAGGGAGAGAAATATCCCTAACTCAAGTTGTTATAGTCCCATGGAAGAACAATAACAAGGTTCAGGCTATTTCAGATAGTTCCTTCCTATCTCAGAAAATTGCATTCATAGCATATTAGACAGTTATTCTTGAGAACTACCATCAAGAAAAGAAGGGAAAACAAACAAACATAGCCACCTGGAGAATAGTGTTGCAGTAAATAGTTTTTTTTTTTTTTATGATCTGAATGTTTATGTCCACCAACATGCATATTTAGAATGATAACCCCCGAGGTGATGGTTTTAGGAGTAAGGGTCTTTGGGAGGTGATCAGGTCATCAGGGTGTACCCCTCATAAATAGGATTAGTGGCCTTACAAAAGAGGAAAAAAAGAAATCCCTCACCTCTTCTGCCATGAGATCACAGTGAAAAGAAAACTCATTATGAACCAGGATGCAGTTCTTCATAGATACATAATTTTCCAGTGTCTTGATCTTGGACTTCCTACCTTCAGAAATAAGAAAAATACATTTCTGTTGTTTAAAAGCCACTTGGTATGTTGCATTTTGTTAGACCAGCTACAGCAGACTATGACACTATGATACCATCAAATTATAGGCTAAGGCTTCTTCTCCGTCTGGGAGATCCAGAAACACAGCTAGGTCCGTAGTTAATAGTAATGTCCTATTAATAATAAGGTCTCTTCTCAACACATTCACAAAGTAAAATCACTTAGGAGAAAAACATGCTGACTAGTGAGAAGGCCTAGAGAGACACAAAATGGTTAAGAGAAAACGAAGTCTAAGAGGTATATGAGAAAACTACCACAGAAATATTTTGTTAGTAAAGAAGGAAATAAATGATTATAAAGTGATCAAGTTAATAAGAAAGAGTGAAATCCCAATATCAGCAAGAAGTATAACATCTTGTTTTGCAATTACATGACAATTTTACTGCTTTTTTTGGTAAGGGTAATTATTGGCAGACCAGAGTGGCTACTTATTCTACAGGGCATTATTCTGTCAGCTTGTCTTTTTTCCTTATTAGATACTATATTTTGCTCCAATATAGGGCAATTGTTTTTCCAGATAGTTAAGAGTAGAAAACTGTGTTTCAAAAACAATACTAAGCACATGTAGGAGACACATGGGAGAGGAAATATTATCTCAAAATGCAGGATGATGCTGCCTATGAAGGACTTGTGTCCCTTTAGAATAAATAAGGTTGGAAAGCATGACAACTAAATTAATTTACTGTCCAAAGAACTATGTAATATGATGTATAATCTGCAGTAGTGGCCTGGTCAAGGTGATCATGTTTAGGTGAAGAATATAAAAATCTGTTTTATGTCTACTTTAGAGTCATACAAAGAAATTTTAATTGAGTAAATTTAACCTTGTGGCTTCTTGCCCTGTTGATCTTTATACAAACTAAACAAGGGTAGAGAGGATTTTAAAAAGTAGTTAGGGGCAAATTATGTGGGATAGAGACAGCCTGGATTGTTTGTCCTGATTGAATGAAATCTGTAAAGATTGCAGGCTTTTATTCAGCAGTACAGAGCAAGTTTCTTTGAAAACTGTTTTAATACAAACATCAATTCTTCATTAAATGTACATTTTATAAATGGGCCTCCACCAACTGTTTTTCTAAGAGTTAAACAAAAATATTTGAAGGAAATTTAACAGGTTTCAATAGGTGAAAAAGACTTCCTATCACAACCAGGCAGAGAAAATGACATTTCATGAGTGGAGGCCTGCCATGGAAATACTTTCAACAAAGCGTCTCCCACAAAAGCAACCTGGGCAAAGACTGAGGAACAGAGATATGCATATGAGGAAGCACAATGCCTGGTAATAAACAGGCCTGTTTCTTTTTAATGTGTAATCTTTTAGCTTTCTGCCTGGATGATGTTATATAAGGCCATCATAATCAACAAATTTCACTGCTGCTGAGGAGAAGAGGAAGTCTAAACACATCAGCAATTTCTTAAGAAAGTGCAAATGCCAAACAAATCAGGAATTCATTAACTAGATGGTGCTGACATTTCCCAGTGGCTTTTGGAGAACTGAACCATTCATTCTTCAATCTTTACCCAGGGAACAGGGCGCTCTGATAGTATATATGAAGAGTGATTTTGTTTAGACTTTTTAAAAAACATGATCTGATGTTCATTCCTACCTTCAGTGTTTTATTGGACGTGACCCGAGGTGACTTAAGCAGTGACAGACCTTCCATATCTTATTCCCAATTCATGCTCGTTGCACTTCTCTAAGTAGAGAATACAAATTTGTGAATCAACTTATAACACAGAACTTTAGTAAAATTTCTCTTTAAACTTCCGTTATATTTTTCTACAGGTTATATTAGTTGTTCTTTTTAAAATATCAATTTTTTACAATTTTTTCTTTATAATATTTGACTCAGTAGAGCTAGAATCTATTCACAATCTATAATCTGCAAGGCCAAATAATAAATGGCAATTCTTCTTTACGACACAAATAGATAGCCCACAAGTCAAGATAGAAGAGGTCCAAAAAAACACGTCAGGACATAAAACAGGCATGAACTTCAGCCAGTGTAGGGCAAGCAGAAATAGTCTGAATAATTATGCCAAATAACCAAATAAAAAAAAAAAAACTCACAATCAATTCCTAGATTAGGCTCCTAGGTAACAAGCTTTACAAAACCCATCCTCATATTTATCTTTCATATTATGAGACACTGATTGATTCTTAAATTGTTAATAATCTGCCTTTCCACAAAACATGAAAATTTTATCTTAATTACATAATGTGAAAAAGCATATGCATTCAGCATTCTATTACATCAATACGATGCTAATATTTCAAAAGGATTCCTACTCTAAATCTTATTGGTGTGACTTTATACATTTACCTGTTCCCAAAAGTGCTATATTGTTTTTAAATTGAACCAACATTAAATTTTTCTGTATAAAAATTATTAAATTTTGACATTGATTACATAACTATAGACACTCATGCTTTGGGTGCTATTTTGGTAGCATTTTAGAATTTTTTTTCAAAATACATATTTTATTTTGCCATCCAATAAGAAAGGGGAGAAAAGAGGACTATGATTTTATAAGTGCAGCAATTTAAACCAAAATGTTTTTCAACTTCGAGTGAATATGCTTGGCAAATCACTAGTGCTCTATTTGTCTAATCAATTGAACTTTTCGAGGTTTATATTTTTCACTTTTCCCTAGTTCATATGGAAGGTATTCAAATAATTTTCCATCAGAAATAGTTATGCTCTAAAACATTGATGGCTCATCTGAGAATCAAGATTCACAATTGTTAGTGGGATCTCAACTTTTCTTGTAAAGTAAGAAAATGTTCTATATATATATATATCCATTCAAATTTTGAGCCAACCTCACACTGAAGCATGTAGCAATTTAAATCTGTTTCCATTTTATTTATTTATTATCATATAGATGCTGCTATTCTAAATACTGGATAGCTTTAAAGGAAAAAATAAAAGGTGAAAGACAAAATGATGAGAGAAAAAATTTACATTTCCTCAGTAGCAGTTGGAAATGCAATGAAAAATTTAGAGGAACACATATAGGTGTCATTTAAATGTGTTGACCATATACTAAATAAAGTTAAAAAATAATCCAAGCCATAGTTGTTGACCATTAATAACAGAGAAGTAGAGAGAGAAAAATGTTTTCACCATTTTAAAGCACTTTCCTAAATGGCTTTTGGGTGAATAGGAGATCAAAATTGCACTTTCAAAATAGTTAGATAACAGCCATAGTTAGAAGATTATGCATCAAAAGTCAAGAACTGGAATCAAAGTTTTACTCAGAGGCAAATTCAGCATTTTAAAAGCTTCTATTAATTGCTACAAAGGAAAGCAAAAAGATAAAGGAAAACATCTTTCACACAGCATGTTAAAAATATATAGCAAAACCAGCTTAACAAGGAGAAAGAAAATAAAAGCATAATTAACATATTAGAACATTTTGTTAAAATTCACTTTATGAACTTAAAGGTTAATAATGTTGGAGATGGAATCTGGATAAATCAGTGACTGTTCTAATTAAGAAATAAGGGATAGATGATTACCATGTGTTGAACATAGTTGCAAATGACTGGAAAAGGCCAAGAGCACACTATTCTTTTTAAAGCAGAATTTACTTTTTCCCACAAACATAAAAATAAATAAATCTTTATTCTCTCTCCCTCCCTTTCTTGTCTTTTCTTTTCCATATTAGAGACAAGCACAATAAGAAAATTTCACTCATATTATACATTCTTCCTACAGATGAGAAAACAAATCAAAGAAGATGAAGTGACTCATCTGAGATCACAGAATCACACAGCTGAGATGAGACCTCTAGCCTCCTGGCTTCTTTGCATTGCTGTTTCCCTACACATGGTGACTGCATAGGCAGAAAGCCAGAAAATCGATCTGATAATTTAATGTAATTAATACACCAAACTAAATTCTCTGATTATCAGACAGTCTGAAGCCAAGAAAGACTCAAAAGTACTGCAATATTTATTTTTATGGACACGTGTTAATAGAGCTTTGAAATTTGCATGTACAGTTACCATCTATGAATGCCCATCTATTACTTTTATGCAAAAAAAAACTCATGGGAAGAACTTATAAATATGCTTATAACTAGAACATTTACTATACTTTTACAAGTTTTCTGGAGATTTCAAAACTATGAGTCCTTTGGGTCAAGTTGTGCCAGTTTTCCCTTGATTACTTAAGTGTGCCCTTTGGTAGTCCCCTCAAGAATGTATTTGGACAATAATTTTGAAGTTCTTACATATTCAAAACTGTTTGACAATGGCTTCTATATTTGAAATAAACTAGATTGGAAATCACAGCCTTTGCCTATTTTCCCTTGGATATTGTGAGTGTTATTAGATAATCTCTTATCTTTCAAGTCTAGAAATTCTACTGTAGATCTTTCTAGGTCAAAAATAATAATCTAATAAAACAATACAGCCACATTAAATAAAATAATCTAATAATCTAATAAGAATGCCTTTTCAATTTGAAAATTCAAGTCCTTTGTTTATTCATTTAATGAAAGTATTTCATTAGTTATAGTTTTAAATAGTGGTATTGACCTATTGTTTTAATTTTCTTTTCTCAAAACTTCATTTATGCACTTTTTTGCTGCGGGGAGGTGGGGGATCTCCTTTCCCTGATTTATGTCTGTCACTTTTTCCTATAATTCTTTTTTATCTCTTTACCTCTACTTCTTTTATTGTTGTGGTTCATTTGTGCTCCCTTAATGTGTTTCTGTTTTCCATGTGCTTTGAGTAATTGATCTCTATTTCTGAATGTTTTGTCATTTTCTCCTATTTTCCTGCCAAGTTCTTCCAGTATTCATTTTAGACCTTTCTGTTACTTGACCACCACTTCCAAGAGAGTCTATACATTTTTATTTGTGGCTTTATTATTTATACTATTGATTCATGTTAGTGTGTTAGCTACAGTTCACATTTAGTTTAATCAACAGCTGTGCTAAGTTTTTATAATTAGCAGGAAAGTTTTGCTACTTCTTTTTCACATTTTGTATATTCTTGGGTAAATACTATCAACGCTCCTTTTGGGTTATTTGAATAAGTTAAAATTTCCTGGAGCTATAAAAATAGTGAGAAGGGTTAGGATAGTCTTCAAGGCTGTACCTGTCAAGAATCCCCCAAGCTAAGAGCAACTTCCTTATTATACAGAACCTTGGTAAAGACAGGCTCCTGCTGCCTCCTCCAATCTAATCTGGCTCTGGAAGACTTCCTCTGCCAGCCCTCAATTTGCCTGGTTCCTTCAAAAGTTGTAGACATAAGTGAATAGCCATTTCTTTGATTGTAATTTTCTATACTTCCTTTCTTTATGAATGGTAGATGTCAAGTCCTGTTCAGTCTTGTCCACAGCAGTTCACTCTCAAGATCAGGCCTCATCTTTCTGGGATGAGTATTTGCTGTAAATTAATGAGATCTGCTAAGCTGTGTCCCTTCTGCACTCATGTTTCTGACAGCCCTGTCATGATCTCCCATGTGGCCCTCTTTCCCAGTTCAGCTAAATAGCCTTTGAAGTTGCTTTTGAAACCCTTGAACACAATTTTGAGTTTTCAGATGCTTTATTTGTGTGTGTGTGTGTGTGTGTGTGTGTGTGTGTGTGTGTGGTGGGGGGTACTGGGATTAAACTCAGGGGCACTTTACCACTGAACCACATCCCCAGCCCTATTTTTTATTTTTATTTAGAGACAGGGTCTCACTGAGTTGCTTAGCTCCTCATTTTTGCTGAGGCTGGCTTTGAACTTGCAGTCCTACTGCCTCAGCCCCCAGAGCCACTGGGATTACAGGTGAGGGGCACCACATCTAGCTTCAGGTGCTTTCTATCAGTCTCATTCATAAAAATACAGTTTGCTTATTTTTGTTTGTTCTGTGGGGTTTTCAGGAGGAAATAATGAAATGATGAGGAACCAAAGAACTATGCCATTGTCTATTCAAGAAGAACTGAAAATCTCTCAGGAAATTTTGTCACCTATGATTCTCCAACAAAAATAAAAATACTTTTTTTTTTCTTTTCTAGAAGCAAATTAGTAAGCAACGATGTCTTCTGGCATCATTGACTTGCGGACTTGACTGAACAGGACTTGACTTCTATCGTTCATGAAGAAAGGAAGTATAGAAAGTTACAATCAAAGAAATGGCTATTCACTTATGTCTTCTGGCAGCATATTATTCCACTTACCAGAATATAATAAGTCCAAATAAATTTTATCATACTATAAAGTATTGCTTCACTGTTTTATGGGGGAGTGATGTCTCAGCCAAACTGATAGGCTAAAGTCCAATCCCCCAATACCTCAACCTGTATCAGTCCCCTTCTTAAGATGGCTGGACTTAACAGTTTGTCAACTTTACACTGGTGTGAAGGTGATACACATTCAGTAGGAACTATACTTAGAACTTTGAATTTTGATCTTTTCCTGGGCTAGAAATATATGTATGATGCTCTCTTGCAAAACAGCACAGTGGCAGCAAATGACAGCTCCCAGTCAGCCAGTCAGTCTACAGTGTCCTATAGTGCTGAGCTATGGTGCTTGATAGGTTATTCAGCTAGCATTTTTAATTGTTTTACTTTACTGCCTTTCAGCTCATATATTAAAAATGCTACCAGAGAACTGGGACTTCCCTCTTATTTAAAAATTATGCCAGGTCAACAAGGAGAACAGAAATGCCACTTTAAAAAAAAACCTAGAAGAAAATTGAAA